AGGGATTCGAACCCGCGACCCTCAGATTGCGAGTCGAGTGCCTTAACCACCTGGCCATGCCAGGCCTGCCTGTTTTTAAAGTGATCCTATTTTTTGGTGAAAATGTATTAAAATCTATATTTGTTCACCAAACATGAGCCACACGTTTATGTATTTTTGACGTTTTCGGGAAGACAAATTTTTAGGCAATAAATTGTAAAATTTCCGCTTTTTGGGATTTGTATACCAACAGTTAACATTTTTCAGCAAGTTATTGAAATATGTACTAATTAATAAAGCTGTATTTCCAGCTTCCCATCAACTGATTAGGTTGGAATTGCACAATAACCGAAGGTTCGCCAGGAAATGTATTTCAAAGCAAAAATCTTAGTCCTCTTAACCTCGAATGTGTTCGATAGAAAGAATAAGACACAAGTTAAACACAATCTTCATTTCCAAACACAAACAACAATCAAGATTAAAGACGTGATAGTGTAACGTCTTTACTGGATAGAATATACAATTTTAAGTTATTATCCCGAATCCTATTCTTAATTAAGAAATGCAAGTTTCAGATTGAAAAAACATTGCATTATATACTAATAACTTGATGTCATTCTTCTTGGAGTACAGGTACTATACACCAGATGATGGCCACTTCAAAACAAGGGATTTTGTATCCCTAAAACATCACATGACTTGCCAGTGGGAATGATCACTGTTAGTTTCTATACAGTTTGTTCGACATTACAGCAATATTTCCCACGAGAAAGTACATGCAACATCCATGACTGATCTAGTTCCATGAGAAACTACGAAGAGAGCAGCTAATTGACTCCCTTTACTGACTTTCTACATTAAGAATACATATTAAATAAGATAATAGGAAACATATGGTACTGTAGTATGTAATCATACTCTATATTTTCTACCTTCTTTTAATAATGTGGGAATTTTCAATAGTACAAATTTACATTTAGTCTGAATTCAGTATTTGCATAAATACTTTGTCCAAAAACACACTTAGTTGTTTACTTTCTAGTTACCATTTTTATTTTCAAGTAAATAAAATTTACCTTTGCCCATAGGTATATTGCTGCAATTTCACACTTTGTGAATAATAGGTGAACGACAACAATAATCTTCACTGATCAAGAAAATGATATCTGGAGGTTACAGCCTCCACTATGTTGTATAAGAACGACCAGTCACGTAGGTAGCACCAGTCGTTATGAATAAATGCATTGGATTTACATAGTTCTAATTGGTTTTTAATGTGAGCCAAATGATGGAAAGATATATCGAGAGACTACAATTGCTGACTAATTCACTGATCCAATAGAAGACAACAGTCTAGTATTGTAAAGCAAGTACACATACTGTGTTTGTGCTTTTAGGTGTAACTATAGTTTTACACTCTGCATCACGTATCCAGTCTGTTTATTCTCTTAGCTTAAGTTTAATCATTTAGCTAAATTCTGATTTACTTCGTAATTTCTCGCGGAAATCAGTTTCATCAGAGAATACCACAGTAATACAGTGACCAACATTGCGTTTTCATGAGTGGTCCAGGTTGGAAAAACTGTTGTTTATCAAAGAAATTAGGGAGAAAACATATCTCTTCATGTTACACCCAAAGTATTTAGCCTTTTTTTAAATGGACTGGGAGACCTGTAATAATTAGATTATGTTAATGATTACTATCACCTGTAATAATTAGATTATGTTCAATACTATCACCTGTAATAATTACATTATGGTAATGATTACTATATGTCTAAACCACACAGTTTGTTTTTTTTACTTTCCTCACAAGCAAAGTGTTTGCCAGTTTATATTAATCTTTTATATAAATTTAAATAACACAAAATAAATAAAATACTACCTTGGACAGTATCGAGGAAATGGTCTATCTCAAAAGAGTAAGCATCGCCATAACGGGAAGCAAATGAGTAATAGATGGGCACAGCGGTAGTACCATTGGAGCAGTGTGATACTACGCCCGTTGGTCTGACGTCACCAGAGCTCACCATGCCCTTTGACCCAAAAACCTTAAAAATAAATGAAAATTATTAAAAAAAGAGAGGTAAATAGTTTCAAAGTTTGGAATACTGATGTAAAATGGTTACATTTTCTGTACTTTGTCTAGTTGTGTTCTTCCCAAATTATTTGTTAGAAGTTTTGACTTATTTTTCGCACCTCGGAGTGATAGGCCTATCACCATTCATTACAGTTCTAGTACTATTAGAGACTGTGGTAATACAAATAAAATGTAATTGCCTAACTTTCTGCTTAAGCCTATTTCCTTTAGTAATAGCAGATTCCGGAAAATTTCACAAACTTTAGGTTACCTTCCCTATTCCCAATGGCTCAGCGAGCTGTATGTCTGAAGGCTTATATCTCTAAAAACCGGTTTTTGGTACTCTCGTGAGTACAGCACGGATAGTCCGTTATGTGGCTTTGCCACAAACAAACTCTAGATTAGACCAAATCAAAGGACATTAATCAAATCTTGATTAAAGTTCTACTAATATTATACATCTTGCTTAGTTGTTTTTCAGTAACTATCGCTTATATGTAAAGTATTTGTGTGGAAAGCTACTCGAGAGCTATATGCATTATCCGTCCATAATTTAGAAGTGATAGACTGGAGGGAATGCCACTAACCGTTAACTCTTAGGTTACTTTTTCCCAATAAATAGTGGACTTGACCATCGTTTTATAATGTTCCTGCGGCTGAAAGGGTGAGCGTGTTCGGTGACAGGATTCGAACCCACGAGCCGCAGAATATGAGTCAAATGCCCTAATCACCGGGTCCCTTCTTACAGACATTTCCTAACAATAAATTATAAAAATGAACACTTAGTGTTTCAAAATATTGTTACGTCTCTGTTCGTTTGTTAATTTTTCGTATACTTTATTTCCGATGAAACTTCAGCGATACAAGTCCTTTCTTAAATAAAACTAGTTTATTCCCTCTCAATACAACTTTGAAATTCACTTAATTTCTACAGTAACTTTCACTTAAACACACGCTATAATTCACAACGATTCACGTACTTTTCTACCGCGCTTGACCCAATTGTTCGTCTGCAATTATTTATCTATATATATCCATGCCATCACTTCTCACCAGTCTTATATACTATAAGAGTGCATGTCTAGCAAACGCTAGGATGTTCGACAGGTTCCTCGATCTTTCTAGAACTCCAGCGCATGCTCCCAGCGTCGCCCGGCTTCTGCTGAGGTAACAATATGTACAAATGGTCATCACACTTTCTACCCCCCCCAAAAAAAAGGTAAGTACTTTTATTTCTGAAAATGAGGTGCCATTACACCTGATACCCTAAATATAAATCAAAGTATTGTTATTACAAGGTATAATCTGGTAGTTACCTCAAGTCTCTGATCGTACCCATAAACCGCACATCTGCTGAGATCGATCAGGCTGATGACCCCACTGCGAAACTTCATCATTATCCCAACTGTGTCAAAGTCATCGATGCCTTTGAAAAGGCTGTTGAAGGCATGAGAGTGGGCGGACACTGAGATGGGTAGCTCCCCCAATATCCAGCAAATCAGATCAATGTCATGAATGGCACAGTCGTGGAATATTCCCCCTGGAAAGATTTCATCCCATCTGTTTGTGAGAAGCGAAATATACATCGTGTGCGAAGAAAGAAAAAAAAACGGGTAAAACGTATAACATGGCGTTGTTTTTATATACTCAAATCTTGATTTTAATAACGAATGCACCTAAACATTTACATAAGCTCGAACGCTGGAAGATATAAGAATCTCGTGATCTTCAAGGTTTGGTTATTAGTACATTGGTATTAGGATACTGTATTAAGAAGACAACGTTTAGTGAATGTGAGAGGTAACATGAAAAGAGAGGGTAAAACAAAAATTCTTGGGCAAGATAAGTCGTTTGAAGATGCCTAACTTCAAATAAAAAGTGTCATATCCGTTTAATAACTGCCCCCATTACGACTATGGTGACTAGACGTCCAGGTTTTGGCGGGACAGTCCCGTATTTGTTTCTTTGTAGTTTGTCCCAGTCACCAAGAATTTTTTTTTTCGGGATGCACAAAACGTCCCAGTTTTATGATAAAGTCATCAAACTGTCAGTCACATCGAATCATGAATGTAATAGGCCTACTTGACTAGCTCGTTGTTTGAACATACACTCATTAGGCCTAGCTAATTTACACGTTTTAGCATAGTCATGTTCCTTACAGAAGGTCTTTACGTACAAATGGATCTAGATTAGGCCGAGCTAATTTACACGTTTTAGCATAGTCATGTTCCTTACAGAAGGTCTTTACGTACAAATGGATCTAGATTAGGCCTAGCTAATTTACACGTTTTAGTATAGTCATGTTCCTTTCAGAAGGTTTTACCGTAAAAATGGATCTAGATTAGGCCTAGCTAATTTACACGTTTTAGTATAGTCATGTTCCTTACAGAAGGTCTTTACGTACAAATGGATCTAGATTAGGCCTAGCTAATTTACACGTTTTAGCATAGTCATGTTCCTTACAGAAGGTCTTTACGTACAAATGGATCTAGCTTAGGCCTAGCTAATTTACACGTTTTAGTATAGTCATGTTCCTTTCATAAGGTCTTTACGTACAAATGGATCTACACATCTTCCTGATCTACATTTGTTTATGAACGTGTTCCTTATCTGAGGTCTTAATGTGTTCCACAAACACATGGGGATTACTCTCCATCTATATCACTACACAGCTGTATTCGACTGTACTTCTTACTGGAGGTCTTTATGTACTCCCAAACATAGGCGGCGGAACATATTTGAATTTGAGAATGGGGCACTAATGATTTGGGGCACCTTATTTACTGTGTTAACCATGACCATTGAATTCAAAACTAAAACTGCTACTTTTTATGATTGTTATACACGAGTCTCTATTTCCCATTCAAAGGGACACTTTGTTACCTAGTCAAAATCGTGGGTACGTGCCCCCGGCGGTTCCACTGCCTATGCTCCAATAAATGTATCCAGGGAATGCCCCCATATGGATCACTACACAGCTTGTACCTTACCAGAGGTCTTTATGAAATCCACAAATAGCTAGGTGTGGGGATTCCCCCTTTTCTAAATCGCTACATATCTGTACACGAACATGCTCCTTGTTATGTACACCATGAACGGTCATGAGGAATCCTCCTCTATCTACACAACTATACATTTGGGTATGAGCTTTAGGTGCTCTTGAGGGACAAAGATTCCCCCACCTCTTTTACAAATTACTTTCCTGTCTGATGTATACGGGTACAAGTAAAACAACTCACCAATCCATATCACCAAGTTATATTTTGGTGTTTGTTATCTAGAGGGCATTTTTCAATAAGACATTGTACCTCAACCTGAAAAATGGCGAAAACTAGACTGTATAAAACCACCAGTTAGTAATCCAGTCAGTCGATTAGTGAATTAGATTACGTCAGTGAGTGATTAGTTGGTGAATTTGTTACCGTATTATCTATCGATTAGCGAGTGTGTTGGTCAGTTTGTTAGCCAGCTTTTACTCTACCTTCGAGAAAGTTACAAGAGAGTAATTGATTAAGTTTACTTGCGAGTTAGGCATATCACTAGTTTCGGAATTTTTGATGAAACGTTAATTGTGAAGTTAGGCCTTCAAGCGAACGTAGCCTCTACTACATTATTGAAGAAATAAATAACTCGTTGTCATTAAGCTGACCGGTCTTTGCATTATTTTAATGAAATAATCGAGAAGAACCCGCCAACGTTACACGTTCCCTACCAGAGGTCTTTATGTACTCTATGGATGGTTGAGGAGAATCTCGGCTACAAGTCTTCACTACTTGAACTTGACCTACATCTCCCCTTTCTACCCGGTCTTTTATGTTCTTGAACCCCGGGTCAAATCGTCTGTAAAAACAACAACAAAGGATGGAGTAAAATATTTAGTCAATCGATAGAGGAAAAACAAATACTAATGAATAATTTTAGGCTAAAAACGGGTATACCTGTATACAGGTAAAGCCATTTTTTATTATTTAGATAATTAATTTCAGTGTTACGTAAGGAAATATTTCCCACCTGTTGAAAGCACATAGTAAAGGTTTTCCGGCTTTCGAAGCTGCCTCGTAACATTCCGCTGCGCCCTCTCTGCTGAGAGATAACGGTTTTTCACAGAGAACGGCTTTACCTAGGTACGTGTTGAATGAAACATTTTAAACCTAAATGTAAAGATTCTTTTTAAATATACATTCAGGTAGTTTTTTTACTAAGATAACACTTTAACGTGATCTATCGAATCTTCGGTTTCTTGCTATCGATCTTTAAATCTGTATCTAAAAGTTGAACAAACATTATGGCCTCCCGCTCATTTTGAATCGTAACAATGTTCTGTTGTAGAACTGTGTTCTTAGTTCTAATAGTTTTCGATAGGCGACAAGACGAATTTTCTTTATTTTTGTTGTTGTTAATCGTAAAGCTACACAATGTAGTCTTTATTTTAATTATTCATCAACAATCCGATTTAATGAAAGGAGTAAACATAAAAAGTAACCATGTCTGTTTGAAGGATGAAAGAGAAGTTATTACTTGAAGAAATATCAACTGAGCTATAATATATGACAATAAATAATATCGTTTAATTACTACTGTTACTTTCGTAGTTGGGTTGTTATAACAGGTTAAACTACAAAAATATTCAGTACGGAAAATACAAGGGCTTTAGGTTTAAAGTTTTAAATATAAAAAAACAAGTTTCTTCTCATTTCGCCCTCTAGTGGCACAGATAGATCATTGTGTAGCTTTGTGCTTAACAATAAATAAACAAAGAAATCTTCTCATGTCACTTATTACCGTTTTCACGGTTTCACCCATTTCGCACTTTACGTTTTCCCGATTAACCTGAGTTTCTTTTTATGTTACAGTAAAAAAAGAGAAATAGAATGAAAACTAACCAAGTGTCTTAGTATTACAGCAGTTGCCCTGGTTTCAGGACATGGAGGACAAATTATAGAAAAATAAATTACATTCTACTCACGCCATTTTAAATAACACGTGGTGATTAAGTGTCTATATATTTGTATTGGGCTGATAATAAAACAGCCTAATTTATACTCACCGGTTTCTAGAGCTTTCTTGACAAGTAGCTCGTGGCTGTACGTAGGCGTGCAGATGACCACAGCTATCACTCTGTAAGATCACAAAAATCGCTTTGAGAAATGACGGACAGACTTATCTGTAGTCACTTAAATTATTTCGAGACGTGTGTTGTTACTAAATGATTGTCTGGGTTTGTTTCTCATATTCGTGCCTACCAATAGCCGACTCTAATTCTAAACTAGAAGGAAGGCACCTAGCCACCAACAATAAGATTTAGCCGTTATTATTAAAAAGAAAAAAAAAACCCGCTCCAAAGCGCGATATTTATCTGCAACGGGACGCAAACTGGGTTATCGAAGTTACAGTCCGCCATGTTAACTACTAAGCCTATAATACTCCTCTAAACTTAGCTGTATTTAGTCGATGTTTATAAGCCTATGATAATCCTCTAAACATACTTAGCTGTATTTAGTCGATGTTTATAAGCCTATGATAATCCTCTAAACTTACTTAGCTGTATTTAGTCGATGTTAATAAGCCTATGATAATCCTCTAAACATACTTAGCTGTATTTAGTCTATGTTAATAAGCCTATGATAATCCTCTAAACTTACTTAGCTGTATTTAGTCGATGGTAATAAGCCTATGATAACCCTCTAAACATACTTAGCTGTATTTACTCGATGGTTATAACCCTATGATAATCCTCTAAACTTATTTAGCTGCATTTAGTCGATGTTTATAAGCCTATAATAATCCTCATAACTTACTTAGCTGTATTTAGTCGATGTTTATAAGCCTATAATAATCCTCATAACTTACTTAGCTGTATTTAGTCGATGTTTATAAGCCTATGATAATCCTCTAAACATACTTAGCTGTATTTAGTCGATGTTTATAAGCCTAAGATAATCCTCTAAACTTATTTAGCTGCATTTAGTCGATGTTTATAAGCCTATAATAATCCTCATAACTTACTTAGCTGTATTTAGTTGATGTTTATAAGCCTATAATAATCCTCTAAAGTTACTTAGCTGTATTTAGTCGATGGTTATAAGCCTATGATAATCCTCTAAACATACTTAGCTGTATTTAGTCGGTGTTTATAAGCCTATAATAATCCTTCTAAAGTTACTTAGCTGTATTTAGTCGATGGTTATAAGCCTATGATAATCCTCTAAACTTAGATTAGGGATAACCACTTACCTTGGGTCAGAGAAGACGACATCAGACTCTGGCGGTGTCAACATTCTTGTATTTGACAGTTTCCATTTATCGTGTACGTAGTCCCCTCTAGCTCTGCTCGCCTCCACACAGTATAACAACTCAGCTCGAGGGTTACACATTATCTTTTCAAGATGGATCGTTCCGATACGTCCCAGTCCGAACAGAGCGATGCCGACAGGATGAAAACCAACATCGGTTTTCATTCCCTTCAGATCAGCTTCATAACTAGGTGAAAACAGATGCAGAATACATGGTGATGATATCCCGTAAAGCGTCTACTCCTGCGCAAACTAGGCTAAACCTTCTGTCAAAGAATAAGAAAAATAACTTTTTATAGTTTATATTTTTACATAAATTGTAAAAGTTTATGGCTAAAGAGAGGGTTTGACCCCACTTATCCTCCATTCCTGTTATACTCTCTGCTAGGTGACAGTATATTTGTTTGTTTCTTGTTAAGGACGGAGCTACATTATCTATGTTGTTCCACCACGGGTATCGAAACCCGATTCTTAGCGTCATCAGTCCTAATATTTAGCGCTGAGTCACTAGGGGCCAAGCAGCAAGCCGATGTCGTCCTAGAAGGCATCTTAAAATCAGCGCTGAGTCACTAGGGGCCAAAATAACTCACCTTAGGTATCTATACTGTTTCGTCTTACATGAATTTGTCGTTGTAGTTACAGTTGTACCGTTTCGTCTTACATGACTTTGTTGTCGTGGTTACGTTGGTACTGTTTCGTCTTACATGACTTTGTTGTCGTGGTTACGTTGGTACCGTTTCGTCTTACATGACTTGATATTCCATCTAAAACCACGTGTTTTCATACTAGAACTCAAACTTAAAACGCATTTATCTACATTAGCGTGTTAGCTGTATATCTTTACGGTCTGGCAGCAACAACAAGTATTCGAAATAACCCACCTTAGGTATCTATAGTCAGTAGCAGCAACAACAAGTATTCAAAATAGCTCATCTTAGGTATCTATAGTCGGTGGCAGCAACAACAAGTATTCAAAATAACTCACTTTAGGTATCTAAAGTCAATGGCAGCAACAACAAGTATTCAAAATAACTCACCTTTGGTATCTATAGTCAGTGGCAGCAACAACAAGTATTCAAAATAACTCACCTTAGGTATCTATAATCAGTGGCAGCAGCAGCACACATCTTCCAAAAGTCTTGCAAACGAACACCACGTGGTCTCTCGTGCAAGTGGAATTTCACGCTTCTTTCTCCGTGCTTTAAGGGAGATTTAAGTTTTCAATCACATGACTGTCTTAGTGTTAGGTTTCCTTACCGAATCATCTAACTTCACTCCCTAAACGTCAGAAAAGTATTAAACGTTCTTTATTGGTTGATGTAGAAAATACTCTGAAATTTATTGGTGTTGAAAAATTAGGAAAAGTGAAGTATTAAAGTTTCAATAATAATAATTACGTCATGCTCTTTTACCCCGAGTTTGTAACTGTGCTAGGACTAGTTAATTTTTAAATTAATGCTATATCATTATTTTTAGAAAGAAACGTAACTTATCTTTACAGTTGAGGAAAAAATTATTCAAGCCCCCGAACATATGTTTACTCTGGATTGTAACAGCTTATGATGTAGAGGGGAGGGAATCCCCAAAGGCACACTTACCCTGAAGTGTACCGTAGCTTACGATTTACAGGGGATAGAAACCTCAACAGTACATTTACTCTGAAGAGTAACAAAGCCTATGATTTACAGGGGGAGAAGAACCCCAACAGTACACTTACTCTGGAGAATAAAACAGCTTAAGTTATGAGTTACACTGGAGCTTACAAAGGTATATAGATAATTTACAGGGGGTCACATCCCCACAGGTACGCTAATAGGTACAGGATAGCAAGTCCCTCAGTGAGATAGCAGTAAGTTTGCCTATTGTGTAGTTTTACACTAAAACAAATAAACACAATGTAACGATTAATGTTCCAGTTTTTGTGAATTTGTCGTTGTAGTTACAGTTGTACCGTTTCGTCTTACATGACTTTGTTGTCGTGGTTACGTTGGTACCGTTTCGTCTTACATGACTTTGTTGTTGTGGTTACGTTGGTACCGTTTCGTCTTACATGACTTTGTTGTCATGGTTACGTTGGTACTGTTTCGTCTTACATGACTTTGTTGTCGTGGTTACGTTGGTACTGTTTCGTCTTACATGAATTTGTCGTTGTAGTTACAGTTGTACCGTTTCGTCTTACATGACTTTGTTGTCGTGGTTACGTTGGTACTGTTTCGTCTTACATGACTTTGTTGTTGTGGTTACGTTGGTACCGTTTCGTCTTACATGACTTGATATTCCACCTAAAACCACGTGTTTTCATACTAGAACTCAAACTTAAAACGCATTTATCTACATTAGCGTGTTAGCTGTATATCTTTACGGTCTGGCGTACCCTGGTGGTTCGGGCGTTCGATTCCCACTCAGCGGGTTCGAATCCTGTCACCACACACCGACTAACTGCCTTCGCGAAATTCTGCAAACAAATTTTACATGTTATTAACACATGCATGGATATAGACATTCGAGATTAATACCTTATTTTTGTGTGGTGAGGATAGGAGATTTTGGTTCTAGTGTCTTCATCAAATAGAAATCTATTTATCTAGTGGGTTCGAATCCTGTCACCACACACCGACTAACTGCCTTCGCTAAATTCAGCAAACAAATTTTACATGTTATTAACACATGCATGGATATAGACATTCGAGATTAATACCTTATTTTTGTGTGGTGAGGATAGGAGATTTTGGTTCTAGTGTCTTCATCAAATAGAAATCTATTTATCTAGTGGGTTGATAATTGTGTTCAAAAACTGTTACAACTTTAGACCACTCTAATTAATTCTCACTTAATTGGATAATCAGATGAGAATTATTCCGTTTTTAGAAAAAATAAAATAAAAGGCCATAAATTGAGAACAATTTTCTTGCGCGACTATCTAAACCCAATATGTTGCTAACGGTATACATACTGTTTAATACGAATATAAAAACACATTCATTTCATAAAGCTGCTTTACGCAAGTGCTAAAAACGGAAGATCGGATGACAACAACTCGAAGACTTCGGAGATCGCTGTAAACTGGTTTAATCCAGTTTTCGTTCTTTGGTGGTCACTCGTGTGATTGAGATCTTACTAGATATTATCACGTGATCACTTTTCTCACTGAACTTTCACCGTATTCCCTATGTACTAGAAGAAAAAGAAAATACTCAGAGAATAACACGAAAAATGAAGCAGTGATATATCAAGATAAAACTGAATTAACTTAAGAACAATGGGTAAGATCAGCAGATTCGATCAGGATATTTATTACCAGGTAATGAGTAATCGAGACTGAAAATAAGAGAGTGGACACAAAGTAATACACAAATGAACTATCTTTATTAATTCACAGACGAAGTGTCTGTACTTGCTGTTGTTAAACACTGGATAGTCACTTTTACTGGCACTTCTTTGAAACTACTTAATCATCAAGATCATTTACTAAACAGTTTAAATTCAAAACAACTGGCGCTACTCATGTGACCGATCATTCTCGTTCAAACAGATTGTTTGTTTGTTTTGAAATTCCCGCAAAGCTACACGAGGGGTATCTGCGCTAGCCGTCCCTAATTTAGCAGTGTAAGACTAGAGGGAAGGCAGCTAGTCATCACCACCCACCGCCAACTCTTGGGCTACTCTTTTACCAACGAATAGTGGGATTGACCGTCACATATAACGCCCCCACGGCTGAAAGGGCGAGCATGCTTAGCGGGACGGGGATTCGAACCAGGTAACCCGCGACCCTCAGATTGCGAGTCGAGCGCCCTAACCACTTGGCCATGCCGGGCCCGTTCAAACAGAAGTGAGGCCGTAACTTCGAGATACCACCTGGAATCCCATTGAAAGAACTGCTGTAGAACAGGTATTATTTCCTGGAGAATAACAAAGGAACAAATGCAGTTAGAACGAGGCGAACTTAACGAGCACGTGTTATGCAAAACTTGCACGTATAAAGAATAAAGTTCACAGTAAATACTCTAACAATACGATAACTCGTGGTTTATTCATACACTACAGACACACGCTCAGTCTAAGTAATAAGATAACGTCTTATATTTAACTTTATTATCTGTGTCTGTCTATTTAATTAGCCAACTAAACTTTGATCTGTCTCTTCCTACATCTGTTTCGACAGTGTGTTTACAGTGGCTCTCGGTAAGATTACGAACTGACAACTAACATCCAGAGTTCGATTCCATTTTGTAACTTTGTGCTAAAACAGTTTATCTTGATGAAGTGGACTTCATGAATATTAAATCAATTGTTTTATGAAATGAGTTTTTTCTCATTCGAACGCACGCACACTCATTTTTACACAGATCTGTCTGTCTCTCCGGTTATTCCCTTCGTTATTTCAGTGTTAATTGTCTAAAGCGGTTTCATGTGTGTGATAGCTCTGTTTTAATTAACCACTGTTTTTAAATATAACAACAATAACAAAATCGGTTCAAATACTGGAGTCAGTGCTCATTTCCAACTACCGATACTTTGTTCAATCGTTCATTGATAACACGAACTGTTCATAATTGTGCTCAAAGTTGTTCAGTCATATAAAATTAAGTATGACTAATAATGAAGAAGGCGTTAATAAAACACAAATATTTTATTTACAAGTTTAATAAAACACAAATATTTTATTTACAAGGTTAATAAAACACAAATATTTTATTTACAAGTTTAATAAAACACAAATATTATATTTACAAGTTTAATAAAACACAAATATTATATTCACAAGGTTAATAAAACACAAACATTATATTTACAAGGTTAATGAAACACAAATATTTTATTTACAAGTTTAATAAAACACAAATATTATATTTACAAGGTTAATAAAACACAAATATTTTATTTACAATGTTAATAAAACAAATATTTTATTTACAAATTTAATAAAACACAAATATTTTATTTAGAAGGTTAATGAAACACAAATGTTTTATTTACAAAGTTAATAAAACACAAATATTTTATTTACACGGTTAATAAAACAAATATTATATTTACAAGGTTAATATAACACAAACATTTTATTTACAAGGTTAATGAAACACAAATATTTTATTTACAAATTTAATAAAACAAA